AAAATGACGCCGCCTCGTTAGGGTTAATGGCGCCAGTGGCCCCCAGTCGGTCGCCACAGCTCCGTAATTATAGAGAGAGAGAGTGAGAGCGAGAGTGAGAGTGGGGTCACGGGTCACGGGATGGGGGTCTAAAAGGGCCAAACACCCAAACGCCGCCTGCTATGTAGGTCAAGCATCCCATACCCATTACCATTCACACATCCCAGTGGCTCCAGTGGCCTCCGTGTCTCCGTCTGGGAACCGGGAATGCAGCCATATCTTTTGAAAAAACCGCTAATCCACTTCGCACTTTGCATATATCACACTTGGGTAAAGGATTCGGGTATGTGGCATGCCCCATGCTCCCCCTCTTTTTTTGGCCGCGACAATCATGGAAATGAGGCGGCGCTCGGCAGACAAGCCAAACATATCAAATTGGATACAATTACGCACACACAGGATGCGAAAGTGGAGGAAAGTCTGGGCTTAGCGTTACGTGGCTATGTGACCTCTAACCTTAGCACCTGCCGAGTGGGGGAGTTGGAATCAAAAATTGCCAAGTTATTGATCCATTACCTGACTGCTTACCTGTCTCTCGCGTACACAGCGAGAAAGTACGCGTCACTAGCTACTCGTCACTCGCTATTTAGCAGCTTAACGAAGAGTGCCAAATGGGGAGACATATCTTGGGAGCTCTTTTTCTGTTAGTGCATCTTTGCATCTGTTTTAACCTGTCTTAAATAATCTTTTAAGCTCTTTAATGTATATGTTCGAAAATTCATTGACTAAGAAAGTACTAGCTACTCGCTACATTTCACTCGTCAATTATTAGTACTTTTAACACTTCTTAAATCACTATTTAAGGTCTTGTTTGTGTAACTACTCTCTACTTAGCAGCTTATCAAATTCTAATAAACAGATCTTAATTTACTTTGAGACTCCATTAAGCTATACCTGATACTTATCACTTGAACCTTGGCTGTTTTAAGACATTTTCAACCGATTTTGAAGCTCTTTAAATTACTAACTTAAGAACTAAAAGAACTAACTACTCGCTACTTGTCACTCGCTACTTATCAGCTAAACTAAATGTAATAAATGGAGAAACTCATTGTAACACATATTAATTCAGCTTGTAAGCTCTTTAATTTACTTGTTTAACACTTCATTGGGCCCCTCACTTACACATCCCATTAAATTTTCAACAGAATTGAACACACAAGATAAAATGGTTAAAAAAGGACTCAGGAAGCTGCTTTCCCTGAGAAAAAAGGCCCTTTCTTTAATGTTGTTGATCGGATTTGAGACTTTTTAAACAGAGATGGAAATAAAAGTATTGTATTAATATTACTTTCAACTGATTTTCCATTTCATCTACATGAGTATCTAAAGCTTAGTATTATTCCTTATAGTAACGAATGCTATTTAAACCTTTAAATTTTTATTAAACCACTTGAACTAAGTTGTTTTCTACAAGAATCCCAATTAAGCCAACTAAAAGTGAGTGTCTCGAATACAAAATACTCGAATATTCAGTGGCAGCAGCCAACTCTTGGGCCAATTGACAACTCTGGACATTTCGGGGACACCTCTCGCTGACCGTCTCTCGCTGAACTTTATTTCTGGCCATGGCAGATGTGCGCCCATCAAATATTAAGGCATGTCACGCCGTATCCCTAGAAGCTCCCCCTAGCTTATTCTTAGCCTATTTTTCGCATTGTGTATGGCCAAAGCCTGCTCTATCCAAATGCAAACAGGCGACAAAAAACAGCTATACAGCATGCAAAGAATAAAGTGGCGGGCGGCAGTCGGTGTGTTCGAGTTTCGAGTGTTGGCCTCGTGTTGACTTTTGTGAAAGGTGTGACAATATTTACAATGTCTTGTTAATTGAATTTAATGCGTCCTCTGTGAGTGTATGGTGTGAGTGTGCGAGTGGGTATTGTCGTCGGCCTCGCCCCGGCCCTTCGAGTGTGTGCTTAACCAGGCAACAAAAGTTAATTCAAATTATTAATGGGCGATTTGCGAGCATCGAGTAGGAGCGCTGTGTGCTCCCAAAATAAAAAAAACTCCTCTGTTATCGCATCATTCGCCTAATCGGTTTTACATTCTTTTTTTCTAGCTTTATTTATGTTTTTGTATATATTTTTACTTTTTGCTATTCACCTTCTTTGGAAGTGTCCTAAGCCTGGCTTAAAATGGAGGCTGAAAGCAGCTCTCACGCCCACCTTAATTTAGGGGAATTCCCTGCAAAGCCGCTAAAGGAAACTCGCTTTCAGCCGACTGCATTGAAACAGAATTGAAAGCAAGTTGAATGAAAATTGAATTGGTATTGCTATAAAACCTGAGACCTGTATTTAAGAAAATATTGGGACTTTTTATATGCCATGTAAAACCAGCACATTGAATGTAATAAACGTAAGGAGAGCACTCTCGTGGCTGCCTAGGTGGCGCTATAGAGAGTATACACAACTTGAATTTAATTGCAATGCTCTCACTTCAATTATCTTTATCTTGTCTATTATAAGATGCATATAATAAAAAAGGCTTTATTATTGATATTGGCAGTACAAATTGATCAAGTGTTCGATTTCAAGATTTCAAGAAGGCATCAAAATCAGAATTTTTGATTCAAGTGCCATCTAGTCGACAATTGAAATACTAACTGGAGTTTCAAACCAAACAAGGTACACTTTTTGCAATCAAGAGTAGACTCCATTTTAGTTATGTTTTTTTTTTACTTTATTTCAAATAATAAATTAATTGAATATTTAGTATGGTGATGATAAATTTTTGCAGGAAAAATCTCATTGTTTGGTTATTGCTTAGCGTTCATAATTTAAAAAAAAAATTATGTGTCTTTACCACAATAAAAAATGAAAGCTATTTAGTGGCCTAAGTAAATTTGTATAAATAAGTTTAGGGTAACAAGAATGGATTAATAAGATGTTTTAGTACAATCATTTAAGTGAATTCGGCTGTATAAATAGAGATTTATAATCTTGTTCTTGTTCTTGTAGTTATTTTAGCAACTTTTAAAATCGGTAAATTGGATCAATGTTAAATTATTTAGTATAAATATACCTCTAAGTAACTTTTCTCTTCGTTTGTTAATATAGAGAAAATCTTTATGATACTATTGCAAAACTACTAACTTCGGCTTGCAAAGGTATCTTGTTTTCTTTACCTTATTTAACCAACTATATATTCCCACGCTGCTTAATTCGAAACTTTGATATTAATGTTATTTATTTACTTAGTTATTTATTTTTATTTTAATGACAAATTTAATTCCTTTTTGCAATAATCTAAGCTAGAGCAAATAAGGATTTCAGGCTTTAAAAAATAACTTCAAAAAAATTACATTTATAATTTCCCCTCCACGGTGCACTGATGGCTCATGTGGCGCCATCTGTGTGCTCTACCAGGGAGCATGAGTCAATGTTTTCTACATGTAGAGTTAGTCGAGTGACCTGTTTGTTCCCTTGACAGCCGGCAGGTGGCACTTAACTCTGATGGACAGCAGCCACGCGTCGTATGAGTAATGCGATCGAAACTTCATGGAAAAAGGGAAACTTTCTGGGAAACCAGCGACTGACGCCAGACTGACGCTCGACTTCGACTGCAACTGGAAGTGCGACCCGCGGCACTTAATTCCCTCCAAGCAGACCGACTGACTCGGCTCAGCGATAGCCAATGGCCGTTTGTCTATACTAAATAAATAAATGAGACGTCAACGGAGTGCATTCATCGCATGCCGCGGGCATGAATAACTCGATAAAGCTGGGGAGGAATGCGGCCCACACTTCTGGGGATTGGAGTGGAAGCGGAAACGGAGCCATGAGCCAAGCGCACGCGTTGAAGAGGCTCCACTCCAGGATCCTATTGGCCAATTGGGGTTAAGCTGTCCGCCGATAAGCAGCTTCCGATCGGAAGTGCGCGCCAAGAGCCCTCTTGCCAAAGAGGAACTGGCATTTAATCGATTTGGCAATTGATTTTACCTATTGGGTTATAAGCTATACCCCTTGATAGCGATAAGCAGCTTCCGATTGATAAGGGTGAAGTAATATGCACAGGAAGTAGATATAGACATACAGATTAAATTAAATTAAAGGTTCCATTTGATATAATTCTAATTAAAAAAAAGGATGAGGGAATATCTTAATTTTACTAATAAATAGTTAAGGAAAGAGTATACATTATCTTTATCATATTTTCTCCTTTATATTTCAAATGGGAATTATGTTAAACTAAGTAGATATAAGACATGAAACTTGGGTAGTCTTTCATGTTATTTCTTATCAAAATAAAGCCAAAAGAAATGATCTATTTTTGGAATATAGGTAAGAAGAGAGAATAATCATTAAGATATCATTTATTACAAACTTAACTCAATGTTAAGCTTGTTTTTTATCGATTGACTTAAGTATGGTGCAATATTCTATTGTCTAGCGATAAGCAGCTTCCGATCGGAAGTGCAAAGAACCTTCGAGAAACGGAATTGATTCGATATCGGGCTGATAACTGATAACACTTCGATAAGCCTCTTTGATAAGAGGGACTGCGACTGCGACTTGCCTTACTTTCGATGCAGTAAAAACCCAAAGAGCCCTTAACTTGGGGAGTCCTCTAAAAAATAATTGCAGAACCCTTTAACCCAGAGAAAACCCCTTGTTCGCATTTGTTTGTCTTTTCAAAGTTTATTCTGCACAAAACTTACAAAGCTAAGCACATAAATTGTATGTACAGGACTCGCGTCTCCTTTTTTTCATTCACAAATGTGTTTTTTGTTTTGTCATTGTTTTATTCACACACTAAGAACACTAAGAACTATTCAAAAAAAGTACTTAAAATAAATCACAGTAGATTTAAGCATTTTTTTTTGTTTGTGGCTGGTTTTTTCCTTTGTGGTGGTTGGTGCTTGGCTAAAGGCTTCCGCCCTGCCGTTCACAAATAAATAGATATATATATAAATACAATATGGATAATTGGATAATAAATAAATAAATAAATTACTACACATAGAGAAAAAAAAGGTGGAAAGGTGGAAAATGGGATAGGGAATACTCTCTAAATGGGAAATAAATAGTCGAGGGTATGGAGGGAACTGGGATGGAGTGGCTTGATACCGCGCAAATGTTGTGGCAAGTTGGAATGGAAGGTGCTCTCTCTCTCTCGTCCTAATACTCAATAAATAAATAAATCCTAAAGTACGTGTCTAAAATGGCATTCGACAAAAATTCTTCGTTCTCTCCCTGTCTGGACGTGGATTTCCTCTTTTTGGCTTGCAGGCGGCGAATGCTGCTGATCTCTGACCTGGACCTGGACCTGGACCTGGAACTGGTGCAGCATTCGCCATAATACTGGAGCGGCATGATGTGGACTCTGTTTCCGATTCTGTTTCTAGTTCTAGTTGTGTCTCAGCACTCGGCGGATCCGCAGTCGGAGCCGGAACTGATGCCCGCCCCATTGGAGGAGCCGCCCAGGTCGACCATTTCCGAACTTCCCGTCCGCTGACTGCTCGCTCCTGCCGCCGCTGCTGCCGCTGCCGCTCCTGGTGATGATCCTTGGAATGGTGCCGCATGCAAACGCTCCGCACTATTGCGACGACGATGGCGACGCAGGGCCTTGTGCAGCGTCTTGTAGACATTCTCCAGATACTGAATATACAGCTCCTTGCTGGCCTTGAGGTCCCGCATATCCGCCTCCGCACTGCCATCGGCGGGCGTGTAGAACTTGAGCCGCTCCTGCATCGCCTCCCGGCTCACCCGGCTCAGCTTGGCTCCATTGCTATTCGGATACGACGAGTTGATGGTCGTCTCGATCTCGCAGAGCATATACCGGGCGCTAACCAGGAGGTCGTGCAGCTCATCGGCCCCCTTGAGGCCGCGCTGATGCTCCTTGAGGAACTTGTACTGCGCCCGCCCCAAATACGCAAAGCTGCCGACAAATGTCTGGATGTGGCGGTACCAGGTCTTGAGCTTCACCTGCAAAGAGGAGAGGAAACGGAGGGGAAGAGTGAGTGTCGGGATGCCTGGTTAGCTGGAGAGCTAGTACTGTGATGGGGAAGGGCATGCAAATGAGGGGAAACTGGTCTGCGCCGCCCAGGGCGGAGCAGGTCCGCTTCTGCCACCATCAACCATCAGTCAAGAACTGGAGGAGACTCCAGAGATCGGTGATCGGTGATCGGTGATCGGAGATCGCTACTTACCGCTGTTGTGGGCTTCGTCATGTTCGGCAGGAACTTGTACTCGTGCGGCCAGTAATGGAAGTCGACGTACTCCTGGTTGGCGCGACGGCTGATGTCTTGGTACTCGCTACGCGCCACGTTCCTCAGGCTCTCCAGGTACTGCAGAAGAGAAGAGAGTATTGCTTTATCAGTAATGCTATCAACAAAGGAAACCCCTTGGCTTCTTCGTTAAAATATTTGGGACTTAACCCCTTGGCTTCTTGGTTAAAATATTTGGGACTTGCACACTCACCTTGCGCTTAATCACTCGTCCTTGGCCCGAACTATCGCTGGAGCTCTCGCTGTCGGCATTGTAGCTGCCACCGCAGGGATTCTCCCACTCCGGGACCTGGGGCAGGGGGCCGGTGAAGAGCCGCAGGTTGTGACTGCGGGCATGACGCGTCCTCTGGCGTCGCATCTCGCGGCGTGCCGCCCGGATGGCCGCCTGGGTGATCTCCTCGTAGCTGCTCTCGCTCAGGCTCAGGTCACTGTCGTAGCTGCCCTCGCCGAAGCTCTCCACCAGGCCGTGGTAGGGATTCACATTGAAGTGGGGCAGACCCTCGCTTGATGAGGCGGCTGACGAGGAGGAACGCCCCGAGGCATCCTCATCGTAGGCATAGTCCAGAGCCACCTGATCCGCAGATGCCGGGCCTGGGGCAGGGGCATCACGGCGGCCAGGATCATGATGACCAGCAGTAGCTGCCGGCTGTGGCAGCTCCAGTTGCCGCCGGATCCGCTTGAACTGTGTGGGATGTTGCTGCTGCTGCTGCGGCTGCTGCTGCTGTTGCTGCTTCTGTTGCTCTGTGGGCAGACTGCAGGAGGAGGAAAGAAAGAAGGAGAGAAAGAGGCAGGGTTAGCTGGGCAACTTTAAGTGGCAGACAAATCCCGATTGGTAGTTGGGCGCACCGTTTAAGGTAAAGGCTGGCATTGGTCTGGTCTAATAACACGCACTAACACTGCCGGCTAACTGCAATATGTTGCTGCTGCTGCTGTTGCTGCTGCTGCTGCTGCTGTTGCTGCTGCAATCTGTTGCTGCTGCTGCTGCTGCTGCTGGTTGCGAGGAGCTGCTGTGACTCTCCTGCTCGACGGCTGCTGGCCAAGTGACTGCCTCCGCGGCGGCGTTCGAAAATATTAAGCCGTTGCCGTGGACGTCTCCGTCTCCGTCTCCGTCCGCTCACGCACTCAGGCCGATCGTCTCAATCGATGGAGTGGCCTCTGAGAGAGCGAGTGAGTGCAATTACAGCAGCCTCTGAGCAATGCTCGGAATTACTTATTTTTTTGCTTCTTTTTTTGAGTATTTGTCACGACACCGCTCTCTCTCTCTCTCTCGCCTCTTGCTTTTCGGCTGAATTTCACCAGAAAGATTACTCATAGGCATTTGGGTTTTTTCTGCTTTTTGTTTTTGGTTTTCGTTCCGGTTCGGCTTTTGCCCAGCTCAGTTTCCGATCTGTCGATCTGCCGCCAGACTGGGCCCAGACGCAGCAGCAGCCGGAGGCTGTGACGTAGCCACTCTCCCTCTCCCTCTCTCTCCCTCTCTCTGGCTGCTTCCAGCTCGGCGCACTCGCTCGCTCGCTCACTCATTGTTGCGGTAGGTCAGCGACTTGATAACACGCCGGCTGCCCGCCACAACGATAAGGCACGTGCTGCCGTTGCTCCGGCTAGGCAGTGGATCAGCTGGCCAAGGCCAACAATCCGGAGATCTCTCCGGAGTGATTAACGTACGGCAGGCCTCCGAAAAAAGACGGAGGGAGCTCAGGGAACTCAGGGAACTCAAAGAACTCAGGGAACTCAGGGAGCTCATGTGAGCGGACAGCGATTAGATCGCATTGCACGAGATCGATTCCGTTGGGGAGTCATGTGAGCATGATCCGGCGCACCCGGAGGAGTTATCAGAGTCATAAAGCACTTAGTTTTAAATCGAATTCAGATTGCTGGCGAAATTAAAGGCTAAGGCAAGGGGTACTTGGATCGGGAAACTTTGGATATAACCTATTGACTGATACTTGTGGTTAACTGGAGACTAAATATAGCTCTGACAATATTAAATTCATTTAACAAGACAATTAGGGAGCGGGCTAATTTCGTTTAAATGGAAATAATCAGAGATTTGGAGAAACCGAGCGATAGATTTCCCACTTGATTATTTCGCCATGAAACGTTATTTACCCGTGGATCAACGTGCGTTAATGGCTCGCACCTTTTTTCTTTTTTTGCTGAAAGACGATTATATACAGTTCGATCACATTGCAAACCGGGGGGGATTCACCCGGCAGACATTCAGAAGACTCGAGTACGAGTACGGACACAATCACACAATCACACACGGAATGCTCAAGAGCATTAATCATGGGCACCGTTCGAAGTTATTCCGTAATGGTTAAGGGGGAGCTGCTCTAGCAAATCATCTCTTTTTATAAACCATGGCGAAAGTAATGGGGGAAGGTGATCTAATTTGTTGCGTCGGATAGATAGAGTCACTTGCCAGATACCAGATTAAACCGGGATTGCCCCAGGATATTGCTACTTACTTTGATGGCACATTTTTGGGGCTGGATCACGTTCTATTTTGGCACCTTCCATGGAGCTGGTAATACTGTGTGTTAGCCTAATACTGATACTGATCTTATATCGATCTAGAAACGATCTCTGATTAGCTGGGTCACTGGGGGGTTCCGTTTGCACTGTTTTTTGTTTTTTGTACGGGTTCACAGGCCGGGACAATTAGCATTGGCGTGTGTCTAAGCGAAACTGATTCATGGTCTCCGGCCGTCGCATAATTTTATATTTATACGAAAATCGCACGCCGGCGGTCGCCTCTGTGAGGCAGTCCCACTCGCTGCCAGCGTCGCTGCCGCTGCTGCCGCAGCTGCTGCCGCTGCCCATTGGGGCAGAGATATCCATCGTTGGAAGCCTCTGCTCCTGCTATCTCGGCGCTGTCAGCAGCGGCAGCGTCGCACGACGACGACGTCAATGGCGAGTGGTGGCGTCGTCGTGCGAAAGAATCGGGAATCCGGGAATCGGGTATCGTAATCTGATTCAAAATCGGACTTGGAAACGCTATAGAAAGCGGAGCTTGTAATTATTATTGAATTTGATTCGTTTCGCTGCCCATTCGGCTTTATTTATTTATATATATTTGCACTATTGCTATTTGCTTTTCATCGGTGAGGTATGTACCTACGTCCATGGGTTGCCCCCCCTCCATCGACTGCTGCTCCGCCCCTTAACTCCCACACACACACACATACACTGCACGAAGGGGATTTTTCTCGATTGTGCGTAAGTGTGCGCTCATTATGAACACCTTCACTTTACCTTCTGCCATTGAGGCATGTTGCTTGCGTCACTAATATCAGTCCCCCCTCCAAGATACAACTCCCCCCTACGAGTGGGCGGGGCTCTGGGGGAGGGGGACGGCATCATCGAATGCGAAATTAATTGCATTGATTGCGAATGGGGTTCAAAAAGCATGTTTTTCAAAAAGCCACACGGGGATTTTTTCTGTCAGAGACCATGGGAAATCTCAGGGAGATCTGTGGCGCACGTGTTTCCAGTGACCACTAATCAGTTCCCCCATTGGAAACAATAATTTCTAGCCTCATCACGTTGGCCAGATGGATGTGTGGATAACGGTCTAAAAACAGGTTAACCCGCAAAAAAAACAAACAAACTGAAGCTTGGAATTGAAAGAGCGAACGAGTCAGGCTTTGATTTAACGAATTAAAGTCTATTTTTGGTCACTAAATCGGTGATTAAAAAGATGAAAGATTAAGGAGTTGGCAGTCTATGAAGTACAGGTGATTTGAAGAGATTTACCAGCTTAAAGGTAAAGGTTATTAATCACTAGTGGTAACAATTGGAAACTAAGTCATTCGGGGTTACCTTGTACTTTATTCGTATTCAAAATCAAACCTCTACCAGAATATATATTTTATGAAAGTATATTTTAGAGAACCAGGATCACCATAGGTTCCAAGTAACCCTTCGAAGTAACGTCTCTCCATCAAGTGGACATTCGTCGTAATAGCTTTATAGTCACTCCCCTAGTCCCTGCATAGTATCTCGACTAGATCGCCCTGATTTACAATCAATCTGCCCGCGATAAGCACCCAGAGACTTTCCAGTGATATCATCACGATCCGCAAACAATATCTATCAGACTTGGGGTGATCTTTGCCCCTCGTTAGACTCATGGGAGTTGGCTTGCAGCCAGGCAATCAGTGCATGACATGTTGACACCTTCGTCTTGGGGCCTCAATATGAAATTGATTTGTTATTTTGGGCCTTTGGATGACGCGCTTTTCGGCGCCGATAGCGATAAGGTCGCGTGGAAATATTTGGCAATTACAGTGGTTATTGCATCCAAATTGCTCAGTTTCCAAGAAACAACAGCAGACACTTTCCCATTCCCAGCGAATGCGAACCACTGTGGCCGATTCGGCTAATTACATGGCCGCAATCACACTTAAAGTTTTGATTCAACAACGGTTAACAGTAATTCGGCCAACTTTTCCACTGAACCCTTATCGCCACGCGTCGTCAGACATTGAACTTTGAGGCCAGGCCACCAGGCCACCATCCAGGGGAATTCACCTCGCAGCCAATTGTCTTCGGGGTGTTGACTAATGCCATTGCCATGAATGAATAATCGACCCACAACCCCCCTATCACTATCACTATCTCTGGCCTGACGCCAAGCCCTAGGCTCCAGTGGGTCGATGGATATGCGTTTGCGTATCCAGAACTCGAGGAGTCCACTCACATCACCAGAACGCTGGACACATGAATGGGCTGACTCACGCGGGGATTCAGTTGCTCCAATTTGGGGAGGGAGATACGGCTGAGGAAAGGGAAAGGGGAGGGTAGGATAAGGATGGGGTCAGTGGGGGTCTTGAGGGGTCACGGGGGCTTGTTATTGTCTTGTCACCTCCCGAGCTGGGGTGACTGCACAGAGAGAAATTTACTACTTGGTGTCACTATTTGGAGTTAAAATTTTGAATACAATTTTGAATCATTATCAAATGTGGCATTATAATATTTATTGTTATGGGTAAATGTGGTTTTGAAAGTTAATAAAAAGTACATAAGAAAATCAAGCACTCGAACTCTGTATCAGATCATGAACTTATTTATTATTATATGAAAAACTGCAACTAAATTCAATACTAAATATTTGCTCTATCTAGAATTCTGACATGGGAATTTCCAGGACTCTCTCAGAAAGGTTTTGGAATAGGACATAATAATTTATAAGCCCACCCTCAAGTGTGCCTTATATCTAAATGGTTCTTTCCAAATTCCAAGTCCTTGACCTAAATTTATTTGTATATATGTAAATGTTTATAATACTTTAAAAGCCTGTTTTATATACTTGAAATATGCTATATATCCTCTGCTTATTCTAAAGCATTCTTAAATGAAATACTATTTTTCATTTTATATTAATTTTACAGAACTAATATATATAATATAATATAATATAATATAATATAATATAATATAATATAATATAATATAATATAATATAATATAATATAATACAATATAATATAATATAATATAATATAATATAATATAATATAATATAATATAATATAATATAATATAATATAATATAATATAATATATTCATTCACAGAACTAGTATTATAATGTTAGAAGTTTTTTCCTGCAGTAACATAAGATAATATTCTTAGTCTAATGTTACAGTAGAGTAGCAACTTTT